GCGTTAAAGGATAAGAATGAGAGATGCATATAGGGCCAAAATTAGAAAATTTTATTACTAGCTAGAGGCCAGTAATAGCGCTTTTAAAAGTGGCCACTTTTTTCAAAAATTGAAAATTCTATGCTATTAAAAAAAAAAAAAAAACTAATGACATCATCAATGTAAAGCATTTTACTGACCACAGTGCTGACGTAAAATCGTGACGGATCGTGGGTTAGAATCCCCTTGCGTAAGGCTTATTGGGGAAGGTTTTCGTGGTTTAATTCTCCAAATAACGCAAATGCTGGTTAGTTCCACCCAGAAATCCTCCACGAAGGCTAGTTTGTCCCAATGCTTGATCCAGATGTTCCCTTTTCTTCTGGGTTGGGCTCACAATTACAAGGCTACAGAGTTGAACATTGATAGTCGTAAACTCATAATTGGCTCGGCTGTTCAAAGCCAGTTATGAAATCTAAAACTAAACTAAACTCAATGGCGCGACAGCCCATAGAAGGCCAAGGCCTACTGTGCCTATCTCAGTTTTCTTGAGCTTGGGCTCTGGGGTATGAGCAGATTTCCCGGTTGGGTGGTCAGCCGAAAGCGGAACCCCCAGTGTTTAGTCCCCAAGTAGTTACCCCAAGTTGGTACTCATTTTATGGACCCACTGAAAGGTTGAAAGACTGAGTCAACCTTGCCCAGACCGAGGATCGAACCCAGGACTGAGAGTGCGAGGCGCTACCACTCAGCCTCTGGTAAGTATAAAAATAAAATCTAAGGCATATATTTTTAAGCATTTCTTAAAATATGATAAACATTTCCAAAATGAAGAAAAGTTTTCCTGGTCTCTTCAAGAAGGCATATGTAAAATGAAAACACTGTATATATAATGTTTTCAACTAACAAAATTTAGGATGCAAATTTTTGAACAACTAAAGCATTATAAAATTTATGTTAATTAACAAATCTTAAATTTATTCGTTACAAAATAAATCTGAAAGAATTGTAATCGTAATAATTAAACTATATTAATTAGATTGCTTTTAATTATTATCGACCATCAATTTTTAAAAAAAATAGTAACGTAAAATTAACTTGAACTTGAATGAAATGGTTAATAACAATTCGAAATTTTTTACCATCGTAAAATAACTTGAATGTTACGGGATGGTAACAACTTTATCGTGTAATAAATAATAAGGGAAATTAAAGTTAAAAACTTGTGTTTTGGGGGCACATGGGGTGGTTTTTAACAAACAAATTTTTAATCGCCATTTCTTATATCTAGTCGCCCTGTGGCGACCGTTAATTTTGCCAAACATTAGTGAATCAACAAAAATCAGCAACACTTCAATGAAATATTTATTAAAATTTGGACAAAACAGTACGCATGTGACAGCCAATCACCTCCCCCAATTATAACCTTAACCATACATAACCTTATGCTACTTATCAACCCGGTAACAGAATTTTCATAGTCAATATGCAGCACAATCCTCATTAATTTAAATTTGTCGGCTTCCCTAAAAATAAACTCAATATAACATGGGTACATCAAAATTATGCGTAATCATAACAATTAAAAACGAACTAAACAAAATTAAGACAGACAAAGGGTGAATAAAAATTACACACTAAAGAATATTGTTAAAAATTTGTAACTTTATTTAAAAATGGAATGGTTCGTACAATGTGCATAGACAAGCAAATTTAAAATTATAAAATTTTTCTCGTATTTAAATTTTTTTTGTTTTTCAAAATTCTAGTAAATTAAAGAATGTTATTTGGAATTTTTGAAAGGAGGAAATGTTATTTGGAATTTTCATTATTTTATTTTTTGAATTTTTTGGAATTTTGCTAAGGACTTGAAACAAATAGTAATAGAGTAAAAAGGAAATAAAAAAATAATTTCTCTGCTTCTCCTCTCAGTTATACAAAAAGATTTTTTTTCTTAATTTTTTTAAAAAAACTCTGAGATGAAAATAAATCTACAGATGTTCTGATAATATGCAGCGCCCGCTGCCGGACTGGATAATTTCTGAAACCAGTCTCGCCAATCAATAAAAAATTCATAATTCTTAAAAAATATGAGGTTGTTATCAACGAAGCGAAGCCCTTTAACAAACTATCAAGAACGCTAGTCGATACTTAAACCGATTCATTTTACATCGATATATTTCTTTTTAAAAATTAAAACCTGTGCTTTTATTCAAAATTACTATTGAAAGAGTTGTGGGACACCTTGCATAAAAATATCACCAATGCCAAATTAAGTATTGATTGATACCTCTGAAGCCTAAAAAGCTATTATAAAAAACACAGTTCTTTTTTAATCGCCAAAAAATAAGAATAATTTCTTTTAGCCTTAGTTGAATCTTACTATAGCTTTGTTCCCATTTCTTTATAACAACTTATCGATTTAATTTTATCGCGTTAACCAGAACTGGAACTTAGAATAACTAACAAACAACTATATCATTTAGGTAACTAACTACGTATGAATGAATTGTAAAATATTAACTTTCATCACCATAGGAACAAATGTTTTGAAAAAAAAAAGACACTGTCGATTCTAAGCTCTGGCATACAGTCAACGATTTCAACGCATGAGGAACTGAGGTCAGCATTCCCTTTGTGAAGGAAGGTTCGTTAAGATACGAAGCTTTCTTTAAGTGAATAAACTTTAACACACTAGTCAATTTTTTATGCATATATACCAGGGGTGGGCAAGCTCCTTAATAGTCGAGCCATTTTTCAAAATTTGAAATTTTTCTCGAGCCGCAATTAAATACGTATTTGAAAGGTATGCAAAAAAGGTATTAAATTTTTTTTTACATAAATTATATTTATTGAAAATATATAAGTAAAAGTACAAAATTGGTGTATTGAATTCAAATATTAAAAATTAAACACATTTATTTTACTTCTCTTGATAATTCTTTAAAATTTGGTGAATAATTGGTGA